AAAAAAAAAAGTATGGGGTGCCTGGGTGGCTCAGTTGGTTAAGCAACTGCCTTCGGCTTAGGTCATGATCCTGGAGTCCCGGGATCAAGTCCCACATCTGGCTCCCTGCTCGGCGGGGAGTCTGCTTCTCCCTCTCACCCTCCCCCCCATGCTCTCTCTCTCTCAAATAAATAAATAAAATCTTAAAAAAAAAAAAAAAGTAATGTATTTAAGGATCACTTGGCTTACTCAGTTTATATTCCCAAACTTCAAGCTAAAAATTAATCTGGAAAGAAAACGTCAGCTATGGAGAAAGTGTAACAAGTAATCCTTTGCCTCATTCCTTAAGTTCAAAGTCACTGATGTAACTGGGGAGAGGGGGCAACCTAACTGTGCTTACCACTTGCCAGACACTTGTTACTTAATTCTCAAGGCCACACACAAATGAAACCATCCCAGTTCCACAGGTGAGGAGTCTGAGGCTTCTCAAGATTAAGTGCCTTCCCCAGAGTAGAAGCTGGTGAAAAGGCAGCGGCCATCTGTCCTGGTCTGGGAGCAGGAAGACAGGACTGCCCTGCCCTGAGCTCTTATCTCCCTGGCCAATTCCCTCAGGTCACCGTGGGTGGAGAGCATGGGGGGCGGGGGGAACAACTGATTATGGTTTTCTGTTCAAGGAGGCATTTTCTACCCTCTCCATTCCTTCAGTTATCTCCCCCACTCACCCTCAGAGCTGCATCAGGAGTAGCAGGTGACAGTCACCGCTCCCAGAAATGCCGGGGGGCGGGGGGAGGGTCTCCCCTTTCAGAACTCCCATTATCACATCACACCGCTCAACCATTCCCCAGGCTTGCCTAACTGCATGACACAGGAGAGAAAAGCAGATTTCACGTCTCTCAGCCTATCTGTAAAATGGGAATAATACCTTTTGAGAGAAGTATTCAAAAGAGAGTATCAGAAAGTGTAAGTTCTACAGTGCCAAACAAAGGATCACACTAAAGGCTGAGGTCCTTGTGCAAAGCTTTACTTGGCTGAGGATCCAAGCAAAGTAATCCTCCATGAAACAGCTCACATCATTTAGGGAGGGGTCCAATGCCTTTTGAAATCACAAAGTTTAAGATAGGATTTTAACAACCTGTGTAGGAAATATCTCCTCCAGGTTATGTCCATTATCTGGCTGTACAGTGAATGAAGAATGGAAAAGTTCAGCAGGCCTTCTTGGCTTTAATCTGTTCCAAAGTTACCACCCTGCAGTTCCAAAAGGTGCAATTCTTAGTTCTAGAACCAACCCTGTGTTAATCTTTGAATTAGGGAAAGGGTAAAAATAGTAAATTTCAAAGTCCCAATTTGATAACCTTGTTAACTTCCAAAACAGAATTAGGGTGGGGGTAGGGGGGAAACAAAAATATCTATCTATCTATCTATCTATATATGTATATATAGATAGCATTAAGGTAAACAAGTGTCTACTTTATTATTAATAATGGCCAATATGTGAGTGCTTCCTATATGCCAGGCACTGAGAGGGTAAGTGACTTGCCCAGGTGGCTGCCCAACAGCTCAGCCTCAGCAAGGCAGCTGGGGAACTTGGCCAGCTGGTCTACCGCTCGAACCGTATCATTCACACTCTTTGTGTTCCCCAAGCCTTAGCCATCCTAAACCACTCAGGGTTCTGGGACAGACAGTGTGCTTAAATACAGCCCCATCCCACCCCTGCACGCACACACACACACTTCATGCTTGCCTTTGCTTATGGCTTTTCTTTCTTCTCGCTAAGCCATTCTCTCCTTCCAAAGGACAGGAAGTTTCATTCCATGAATGAATGAAAGTAAGATTCCTGTAAGAATGCATTACTATATTTAAGATCCAAGAGTTCTACAGAAGGGCCATTCTTGCAAAGCTGTTCCTTATCTCCAAGCCAGAATTCCCACAGATATTGCCTGGGGTTCTCTTTCCACTCTTCTCCCTGACTCCTCCCCCACGGCACACTTCTACCCCTTCCTTCTTGCTCCAACCTTCAGGGAAGATCTGGCCAATGACAGAAAGGTTGATCTGGGACGTTGCAGACCTCCATGCAACAGCTGGCCACCCACTCCTTAGGACTCCATGCCAGAAGAAGAGGACGTAATTTGTTTTACGAATTGTTTTCACCATATATAAAATCAGCCACTGGGCTTGGTGATAAGACACCACAGGTAACACACTGGCTTGACACCGCACTGAGAAGTGAACATCTGACGGTTTCAAGGTCTTACAGACGGAACGTCCCCTCACGTTTTCAGAGAACTTTAAAAACACCATTACAGGGCACCTGGGTGGCTCAGTTGGTTAAGCGGCTGCCTTCGGCTCAGGTCATGATCCTGGAGTCCCAGGATTGAGTCCCACATCAGGCTCCCTGCTCGGCGGGGAGTCTGCTCCTCCCTCTCATGCTCTCTGTCTCTCATTCTCTCCGTCTCAAATAAATAAATAAAATCTTTAAAAAAAAAGAAAAAGAAAAGAAAAAAAGATCCCTTAAAAAAAAAAACAACACACCATTACAAGGAAGAGGATATGGCATGGCCTCATAGAAATAGTGTAACAGACATCACAGCGCCAATGCAATAAACATCAAATACTATTAACAGCTAACTCTTCAATTAACCAAAAAAGGTTTTGACTGATGTGTCAAAACTATTGTTTTTAACTGAATCAATGACTGTTCGTCATATGACATGGAAGTAGAGGCTACTTTAAATAAGATATGCTGAAGAAGATAATTCAGTTCAGCATTATTAATAACAGCAACAAAAAGGGAGGAGAGAAAAAATAAAATGGAAATAAAATAAGTCATGCCTATTGTTTAATTTTCCGAATATCTATACAGCACCTACTTCAGTGTCAACACACCAAGCTTAGTACAATGTTTAAAAAAAGACAGATGTGGCTCTGCCCTCATAGAGTTTCCATTCTATTATGGGAGACAGACATTAAAATAATTACATTGTGGGAGCCTGGGTGGCTCAGTCGTTAAGCGTCTGCCTTCGGCTCGAGTCATGATCCCAGGGTCCTGGGATCGAGCCCCGCATCGGGCTCTCTGCTCAGCGGGGAGTCTGCTTCTCCCTCTGACCCTCCTCCCTCTCATGCTCTCTGTCTCTCATTCTCTCTCTCGCAAATAAATAAAATCTTTAAAAAAAAGATTTCAATTTTTTTTTTCCTTCTCATCGTCTTCCTTATACTTGTCTAAATCATCCAAATTTTCTATAATGAGCATGTTACTTTAATAATCAGGAAAATGCAACTTAAAAAAAATATCTAAAGTAAATACACCAAACTGACACAGGATGGTAACACCATAAGGCAACTCTTTTCCCCTCTGTTTCAACTTTTCTATACTGAGCCAAGGAGAAACTCTTAAAAAGGCCTAGCATGCGGACTGTCAAACATGGTCCAAGGTTGGCTGATTACAGGGGGGACGGGTGGAGGGAAGGGGGTGGGTGGGAAGGCCTTGCAGAGGAGGCGGGGGCAGGAGTTGGGTGGCCAGTGCACCCTCAGGGTCCCCGGTGCACCCTCAGGGTCCCCCTCAGTGTCCCGGGCCAGCCACGGAGCCCCAGACCACGCACTCACTCCTCAGCACCGCAGGACGGGGCCAGGAACAAGACCAGCCTCAGAGCTCAGTGCTCTGTGAACATCAGCCAATCTCTTCAGGCTACCTTTAGGCAAAAAAGCAGAGGCCCAGAGAGGAAAGCAAAGCTCTGCAAGCTGGGAGCATGTGACCCTCTCTGAACGAGAAAGAAACGGCACACACCACAGACAAGCACAGAGGCACAGAGGTACCCCTCCACAGGGCCTGAGTCAGGCGCCCTGCCGCTAACCGAGCTTGGGCTTGGCAACCAGCGGAGGCCACAGAGCTACCCGCAGGGAGCATCGTGCCCTTCCACTGGGCCACGTCAACCACAGCAGGGGGCTGCTTCCATCCCCAGGCCGACGCAGAGCCACCTGCTAACTCGGAGGTGGCAAGCCAGCAGACAAGCCTGATGATCGGGCTGGATTCCCACCCCCCGGGGGCTCTCCAAATTAAGGCCTCCAAGTTCTACAGAACCGATGAAGCCCCGGGAAGACCAACTGCTTCCACACGGCAGCTCCCCTGCAACTCAGTGCCACCCCAGAGCGCACGGCGTTCCCCTGCCCCTCTGCTCTGCCCGTCTAAAAACCCGGGGGGCAATTAAGCCACTTGATGCCAGAGTGTCTACAAGGTGACCCAGGAAGGAAGTGCAATAAACACATACACACGATCACACAGAAACCACAAAAAGCGCCATCTGTTAGGACACTGATCCACATGTCCTGATAAAGGGAAGCAGCAACTGAACAGCCATTATCATACCAGGCACTTTAAACGAGTGCATTCTTTCAAATGTCGCAAAATTACACTTCTCAGTTTACACAGACCAACACGGAGGCACAGAGAAAAGGAAAGGCAGCTCAAAGTCACGGCGTGAGGAAGTGCTAGAGTGCCGATTCAAAGGGCAAAGCCCGTGCCACCTGCCTGAGGACACGGCGGGCGGTCCTGTCGCCACCGCCACACGCGTGGAAACCAGCCCCCCGTGCTCCGTGAGGATGGGGCCGGTCTTCCCACCACTGCAGCTCCACAAGGGACCGCAGACCTCGTATACAGAAGGTGCTCAATCTATGTCCAGGAAAGGACACCCGTCACGGTCACAGTAAACAGCAGCCCTAACGACGGCTGCTGGTCACTGAGCCCCCGCCCCGTCGGGGCCCGTGCAAGAACTGTTGCCTCCCTTACCCACGGCTGTCTGAGCAACTCTAGGGCTGATGCGCCCACTTTTCAGACGAAGACGCGGAGGCTCAGGGAGGTCTCAACGCTGGGAAACGGAATCTCCCTGACACGACAGTCTCCTTCCCAGCCAGCCCCACTGTGACCAGGTAAGGAAGCCCAAACGCGTCATCCGGGTCCGCTCCCCACTCCTGCTGGGAGGTCTTCCCAGCCACCCGGGCCCGCCCCCGCCCCGCGTGGCGGCCGCTACCTTGGTTGAGATAGGTCAGAGTCTCTTCGTGCAGCTTCACGGCGGGCGACGTGGCCGCGCACAGCACGTACTGCAGGGGCGGCAGGCGGGCCTCGTTCTCGGGGGACAGCTGGGGCTCCTCTTGCTTGAAGATGGGCAGAGCGAGCACGTCACTGCAACACACAGGAGGGGGCAGTCAGGCGCCCAGTGGCAAGGACTGAGCGCAGTTGCAGAAGCGGGTCCTGACCAGCGAGGGGCATCAAGGGCGACACAGCCAAACCCGGGGCAGTGTGCTGGGGCGCGGGCATCCCAGACCCACACGTCACGGGTCCTCCAAGAGGCTCGTTTCAAACCCAGCCAACCAATCCTTGAGGAGTCTGTTTTTCACTCAATGGCCCTCCAGAGAGTTACTGAATCAAATCATGGAGGCAAAAATACCAAGTTATCTAATATCTACAAATTACAGAAATCTCCGTGACAAGGGGACCGGCAGCAATGGAGCGAACTTTAAATGCCGCATGGTTTCCATCCACAAGAGATGCCTCATTATGTAGTCTTGCTCTTAGCCTAAGAATCTGAACAAAAAAATTCATTTTTTTTTTTTTAAGTTAACTATTCTACTCCTTGGCGGCTTCTCAGACCAATTCAACCCTGTCCTCAGGGATCTGTAAACTATGCAAATGGAACTGCATTTCACTCATCCGGGCTGTGACAGCCCACCACCCCCAATCTTCAAATAAAAATGGACAGCTGGCCCATAATCCTGATTTTAAGGGTCAACACTAATATCTCCTAAAGGCAAAACGAGAAGGAAAGACCTCGGTTTTAATTCCGTTTTCTTATTTGAATGCAAAATATCAAGATGCTCAGAGACACTTTTCCTTTTCCTCCACCTCTGAACAAAACTCCCCGCCATATCCAAAAAAAAACAGCCTCACATCAGCCTAGGACTTGTCTCTAGATGTACTTTTTAAACGTCCTCGCAAGGGAAAAAGAAATTCTTGAGAATATGAATGACCTGTGAGCAGGAGAGGCTTTAAGACCTCTAAATTACAAGCTGCCTAGAAACAGGTGCCCCAAAAGTGCTGTGTCCTTATCTTGATAACCCTCCTCCCTCTGAGTGTCCCGAGTTATGAATCAGATTCACCGACCCCACTTCACTATATAAACAGCAGTCACTGGTACAGTCTGTTCCTCGTAAAACACAGTAAACCAGTAGTCTCTAAAACACAAACCCGGCACACACCCCAGCAGTCCCAAACAATTCTCAGAAGTTAAAGCCTGGCTTGGAGCACACCTGGAAGCTCTGCTGTGTGGGGGCCGTCCCTGCCACCATCCCCAGCCCAAAGACAGGAGCAGTGCTGTCCTGGCTACCCCCACACCGCCCCTTCCTTTTGCCACCCTGGTGCATACTCCCAGCCCAAGTGGTTATCTAGGAACACAGGAGAAGCAAGCAGGCCTGCTCACCTGGGGATTGCATAATTTCATGTTTGCCCAGACCGTGTTAAGTTAATAATCCATGGGCTCCTGCCTTTAAATTAAAAAAAAAAAAAAAAGAAAGAAATGAAAAGAAAAGAAAAGTAGGGGTGGTAAGAATCATCACTCAACAGTAATTTGTTGCAAGCTTGGCATCCTTATTTGCCAAGGAATAAAAGTCACGAGAACATCAAACAGAAAAAGGGAAGAAAGGAGTAAAGGCCACTACCTTCGTAAGGTCAGACAACTTGCAGAGGTTCTGCAGAGTAAGGAGATGACCGAAAATAAAATATATAAACCAAGGAAAAGGACGAGACTCTCACTCTAGAGTTGGGGGAACCAGTGGCATATTCACTGACCCTCATTTTGGCCTTCACTGAGGTCAGCCTCTAAAAGGGTGAAAATCCCAGTTTCCAAGACATGAAATTAAAAAAAAAATTTTTTTTAAACAGCATGGACCAAATGCTTCCTTATCCACGGTCCCTAAATGACCCCAGAAACCAATATGGCTGTCTGGCACCTTTCACCCCAATTCCCACCCCACCTCCCAACCCCTAAACAATACCAAAATCCTAAAAAGGTATCTAAGGAATTCCATAGACCAATTTCCATTTCAGAAGCAGAAGCACCTCCCATACAAGGGGAGAACTATTTCCTAATGGGATGACATTTTAAGTATCCAGGAAGTTTTACATACACTCACATTCCACTCAAGGTCACCTTCACACTCATTTTTTAAGATATGGCAACATATTTAATGGCCACAAACTAAAATTTAGGCAAAACCACAACCATAACCCATCACACAGTACAATAAAAGCAGACTCCATTGTAGCATTTCATGCAGGTGAATGGACACAATTTTCTGCAGACACTAACATCTGCCCCGTGGACTTCTGACATCCCCCAGAGCAGCTTCCCTCTGGTGACATTTCCATGGTCTGTAAGGAAGGCCATCATTCCTTAGTTAAGATGTGAGACTTTGGCCGCCTCCCACTACTCAGGCCCATGAATAAAAACAGAGGACACATCAGTTAAACCCAATCACTTCTTTGCTTCTGGAACGGGGATGTCTTCAGAGAGGACTAGTGGACACATACTTTTCAGAAGCCAGGATTTCCAAATAACGTGTACTGCTAAATCTGAGTGGGAACTTCTTGGGAGGGAAGAAAAAAAAAGGGCACTCAGAATGGCTCTCACTTCGGGGCTGTCGGCACCAGCGATTTCTTCCACCTCACAATTCACTTTCTCTGAGCCCATACCAAATGCCCTTTGGGTTAAATTAGGCACATTTCATAAACTGTGACTAGGATGGAAATAAAGACAGGCTAAAGCTGGTTCAGGCGAGTTCAGTAAATGAAATGACTGCCCATTAGTGCCCAGCCAGCTGCAGAACAGGGAAAAACAATCCTCCAGGAACTGAAGCTAACGGGGCTCCTTGACTTCCTTAAAGGGGATAGGAGAGAACTTTGAAAAACAAGCCGGACTTACTTTTCCCTTTGAAGAGCACTAGTCAAGTCCCTGCAGAAGAAGAAAGATTTCCATCAAGGGCAATAAACGTGCAGACCGCAGGCCAACACACGCAAGACCACCTGGAGGGAGGGGGCAACCTGTCCCTGAGCCCCCGCCCGCGGGGCCGCGAGAATGAAGCGCAGGGTCGGCCCTCGCCACCCACTCGCCCCTCCCGGCCCGCCCAAGGACACCGGAGAGGGCGCGAGGCTCGGAGAGGGACCCGGACAGAGAGGGGCAAAGAGCAGGGGGCGAGACTTCCACGACCGGCACCGGACTGATGGCAGGAAGTTTCCTCTGCTCCGACGCGAGCCGGGAGAGGAGGGACGGGAGAGGCGGACCGACCGGGAGGCGCGGCCAGCAGGTGTGTGCTCCGCGCCCGCCAGGGTCGTCAAGGGAGGACGGGTCCCGCCGGAGTCCGTCCCCAGGCGGGACTCTGGGCGATGTCCCTCCCAGTCCCCAAAGGGCGGACAGCCGGTGGGGGTTGGGGGAGGCCAGGGCGCAGCGAGGGCGCTCGGGACCCGGGACCCTGCGGCTCCCGACCCGCCCCGGTACGCCCGACGGCGCCGCGCCCCGTCCAGCCGGGGCGGCGCGGCCCTTACCGCAGGTAGCTGCCGGAGTTGTGCTGGTTGTAGTGCTCGGGCTGCGTGTGCCAGAACAGCATGGCTGCAGCTCCGCGGCCGCCGCGCCCCAGGCGTGGCAGCGAAGCAGCGGCGGGCCGCGCCGAACTCGCTCAGTCGCCTGGAAGCCGCACTCCCAACCCGCAGTGCCGGCGGGCCCGGCGCATTTATGGACGGCCCGGGGGCGGGGCCACGGCCGGACCC